GTGGTAAACCCACAGTATCTCCTAGCCACATTCCTGTCTTCTAATCAAGCCATGCTCCCTGGCAGCCAGACAAAATGAATGTAACCAAAACTGATGAATCAATAAAGGAATGCTACCAAAGAGGCTGTGTGCAGTGGGTGAAGTAGTTGAAGGAATTGTTGGATTGTTTGCCCACCCTGCAGAAGCTGTGAAGCTGTTGCTGACAGCACACAAAAGGGCAATGTAGAGAGCAGGGCCTGTCCAACCAACACACTCATTTACTGGATAAGAGGATTGAAGGGAAGAAAACGCCTGGCTCTGACTTGGCATAGAGAGACAGGCGGACGGGAGAGGGCAGGTGGAGGAGCTGTCAAACCAAGACAGCAGGAGTAGACAAGTAAGAAAGAAAGAGGAAGCAGAAAATGGAAAATGAGAAAAGTAAAATAACAAAGTAAAAACATGGGGGAGGGCTCTCCACAATTGTGACCTGGAAGGAAACCAGTCAACAAGCCAAGAAAAAGGAGGAGGAAACAGCAGATCAGTCTTCAGAAGAGTCTGGAAGGAGCCAGAAGGCCCTGTGTCCATGAAGAGTGACATCTAATCTCCCTCTGATTCCCTTGGCCGTGGACAGGTCAGAAATAGCTCCAAGAAAAATACAGCTACTAATATTTGTATAATCGAATATTTTTATGTATTTCAGTCATATTGATACTGCATATATATGTACATATATATATCAGTCTTTATAGACTGTTTCATGTAATATTGGAACAAATATATAATTTTATGTTTCTTTTAAATACTGGTACGTAAATGGGTAAGTCATGCTGGTTATCAAACATTACGCAAGATTCCTCAGATCCCTAAGGATACCACTGCAGGAAACACGGCACTAAGTTTCAGAGAAGTCAAGTGACTGGCTCAAGGCCAGCAATGCAAGGATAGATCAAAATGTCCATGAAAAAAATGAAATCAAAATAAAAGTGTGCCTACGCCCCAAATCATGCATATGTTTTTATAACATGCATTTCAACAAATCTTCTAAAGAAGTTGTTTATAAGCAAATTAACCCAAGTTACCAACAGTTCAAAGATTTTGTCCAGGCCATTGGTCCTCAGCCTGTTCAAGTCCAGCACCCCATCATGCTAGCAGCAATGCATTTTACAGCAGTTCCACACAGAGCAGGTCTGCTGTTCAGGTAGGACTTCAAGTTCTCCCTCCTCACTTTTTCTTTCCATCAATTCTGTGATATTCCCAGTCTCTCAGGTGTACAAATTAACATAAATTTCAATGCATCCTTTTACTCTTCCTTTAAAGCATATTCTCTCTCCTTTGAATCAGTTTCAGAAATCTATCCTAATCCTGTTCTTATTATCACTCCCAACCCCAAGCCTGTATCTAGACATTATGATCTCAGCTGAGGTCTTCACCATCCAGTCTACTAAAACTGTCATGGCCCAGGGTAAAACACTGTTCTTCATGAATCAGAGCACCAACCATCACTCCTGTGTTCAAAATGCCTAGTAGCTCCCATATGCTACTCAATGAGTAAGTGTTTTTGTTCAAGTTCAAAGTCTTCTACAACTCTCACCATATCTGATACTACTTCCCTTCATAGCACTCAGATACAATTAAGCTAACCTTCACGTCTCTCACTGTATCCTAAACACACTCACATGTTTTTCTGTCTACAATCCTCAGGCAGTTTAAAGCCTGGGAAATCACTTGGTCTGGTCTTGCCAAGGGAACCACAGGTGGTACTCAAGATTCACAAAAATCAATAGCAGGTGAATTTTTAAAGCAAACATTTTGTGTGGCCCTAGAAAAATACTAGAAATAGCCAAAAGGCCTCCAGCATAAAATAGATTCCCTGAAAACGTGAGCTTCTCTTCATTCAGAATTATAACGTCTCATCTTTAGGATTAGGACCACCTTGTACTTAAAGACTTACGTCAAAAGTTCTCTCTTCTTCAAGAACCTTTAATCATAATAGTTAATCTCTGCCTCAATGGAATCATCAGGAACATGTGCAGAGCTTATACCCCGTAGTGACTTATATACAAGTGTTTTGGCCTCTGGATTTTACTGCTGAGCTGCCACACACACACATCATATTCCACACACATTTGCTAAATTGAATCCAATTAGCTCTTCCTGGTGACTAAATCTAGAATTATTTTAAATGACATATTTCCAAAGAAGTTTTTAAAAGACTTTAAGACAGCAATATTTTATTGAAGTACAATTATAGCTGTTACCCAGGGAAGCCTTGGGGAAACAATCAAACGAAAGCTTGTTTTCAGACACATTTCAATGATTTTCTCCCTTGCTGGGCAACCCATCACTCCCAGGAGCAGTGATCGTGGCCAGGCCTCTATGTCACACAAGTTCCAGCAAGACTCAAGTGCCATGAACAAGTGACCACCGGAAGACACAGACTTCAGATGACACGAACATGATCCCTTTCAACCAGCTCACAGCACTGCTTATGATTCACAGCATGAGACTCCCCAGTGGCCTCCGCTGCAGAGGGCATGGCGTGTCTAGTGCAGCTGCTCTGAGAACGGGGCCAGAATAGTTATCCTTGCTTGACCTTTAGGTCTTACAGTCAATAACAGGTCTGGACCACGTGAAGAGAGCTAAACTGACCCCACAGCACGGAACACTCAACACACAGCCAGATAGTCCAACCAGCCAGCCACTCACCCACTCATCCATCCCAGCCTATCTTTTGTGTAGCACCACCATATGATGTTATATACCTACACATTAATATATATCGCTCATTTACTTTCTGTCAGATAGTATTTTATTTATTTTCATGTGTTGCCTCTCACAATAATTTTGTAAGGCAGATTCTGCTGTGCTTCCCATTGTGCAGATCAAAGCTGCCAAAGTGTACATGGCTGTCAAGTGATGGGACTGAGATTTGAACCCTGGAAAAATTGTCCCCAGAACGCATCCTCTTAGCACACGGAGCAGGATTTTACTCCCTTCCCGGAGGGGGTGGAGAGTGTCTCTGCACATTGCTGGTTTTAGAAGGGACTTAGGAGGGCTTACCACAGGGGGAAAAGCCAAGCACACAGAAAAACAGAAAACCCACGACATCCCCAGCACCGAAGCTGCAGCCTACCGATGCGACGGAGAAGAGACGTTTGAGGCACAGCACAGGCTGGCAAGGTGGCCCAGTGTGCTGCACCAGGAATCGCTCTCTTGGCCCGGAAACAGAGCATCACGGAAGCAGATTCTGGGAAAGCAAGTCTCCAGAGGCGTCACTCCACAAGGTGAGGGCAGAAAACGAGTAAACTCGCTCATTCAACCATGCAGTCAAGAGCAACATTCCTCCGTCCTTAGAAAGACGCACATGACCCAAGAAAACTGCGTGTGACTCAGAACTGTGTCGTGGATCAGGAAGGAAAGAATTCAGTGACTAAGACGTTATAAATAAACAACAAATCACTTCTAGGGGAGGAGGGAGAGAATACTGCCCCCTGCCCCTATCCCAGCCGCAAAACACCAGTAGAGAGGGCCCTGGAAATGTGCTCAAAACTCACAAGATGGAAGGAATTTGGCAGAGGCAATAAAAGCCTGCAGTGGGTGAACGTTTGGCACCCTAGCTGATGCGACACCTGGGATGACCGCATTCTCATCCCAGCTGCCTCAGTTTCCAGCTTTCTGCTGACATGCACCCTGGGAGGCAGTAGGGGACGACTCAAGTATATGGTTAGTATCACCGGTGTGGGACACCTGCTGAAGTCTTGTTTCTCTCTTCAGACTGGCCCTGTTGTAGATGTTGCATGCAGCTGAGGAAACGAACCAAATTGAAGTGATCTCTCTCTCTCTGCCTTTGCCTCTGTCCCTGTGCCTTTCTAATTGTTAAGTGAACTCTTAGAAAATAGGAGAAACAAAAGTCTGAGAAATGAGGTAGCCACTGAGTTTGGATGGAATTCGTTCTCAGGGCCACGCTCAAGAGCCCTGCAGCGGGTGGAACTGATCAAGCAAAAATAACAAGCTGTGGGACTCCGTATTTTTCAGATTGAGTTTCAGCCTCCACAGGGCAAACGAGCTGCATAGACACACCTGTGCCCCTCCGAATGCCTTCCGCGACTGTTCTTCCCGCTGCCAAACAGCTTGCATGTTAAGTAGGCTCACTGTGCCCTGCTGGGCCCAGGTGCCAGGCAAAAGCAGTCTTCCCAGATGCACGCTTGCTGTCGCTGTGTGCCAGGCTAAATCCCGTCGGTCTCAGCTCCGTCGAGGGTGAACTCCATTGCTGTTTTTTTCCCAGAGACCTGCCAAGCCCTGGCTGGAATGCACTGTGCTGTCCTTTCCCAGCGCGAGCCTCCCCCTCATCCTCCACACACACTGGCCCAAGTCAACCACCCAGGCGGGACTGGCAGAGAGATGCTCTCACCGCAACACACGCCTTGACCCTGTTTAATATCAGGAGCCCAATCACCCCTTAGAAACAAGGGAAATGAGTGCATTTTCTCCCCCACTCTCCTAAAATCTTCAACTTTTGCTGAGAGGCAGTACTAAAGTGCTCTAAGGCAGCTCAAGAGCAGTGATTTCTCCGTCAGTCGATGCTTATTTTCCCTCCTTGTTAAGATATATGATCTGAGAGCCAATCCAAGTTCAAAGGCACAAGCCACGCCTCTAGAATGGAGGCAAGCCACCCCCACTTCCCCGTGTTCCCTAGATAAAAGAAAATACAGGCTTATGATCTGCAGATATCACCATTGCCATTCTTGCAGGGGGTGGAAGGTGGGGAGGAGGGCAGGCTGTGACACAACTCCATTTGCAAGTTGGGGAATGGAGCCTGTGTTGAACTTCACTGGACACACAGGAGATGGGAGGGTTCAAATATCCTTCCCGTTGGAGTTTGAGCCCTAGGGGTTGTAACTCAGGACGCAGAGCCTCGATCCTCTGCTTCACTCCTGTGAGCTTCACCCCCACCCTGTGGTCTAAATCCCAGGAGGCAAGAGCTGGCGTCTCAGAAGGCAGTCACAGCCCATGCCGCTTACCTGCGCAGATCTGGCCATCGTAGGTCTCGCACACCCAATCGTGGCACTCACACAGGGGCCCAAAGTAGGTGCCCGGCTCCGTCACGTGACAGATGCAGACTCCGCAGTCGCAGCGGCCCCGGCCGTGGCACAGCGGATCTCCCGGGGGCTGCCCAGGCGCGCGGCACCTGCGCTCTGACTCAGCGCGGGACAGCCGACAGGCCACGCCCGACCAGCTTCTGCGACAGAGACCACAGAGCGAGATCACTGAGGGTGGCCACAGGCACTGCCTAGTGGGCTCGGGGCCCGCATCTCCCACCCACCGTCCACCCTTGGAGGAGCCAGATAGCCCCCGAGGCATGAACCTACCGGTCCCAGATTTTGCTTGGGGTTGTGGGTTAGAAGTATGGGTGGGGAGCGCTCCCTGAAGAGGCTGTGTCTTCCAGAGCCAGCAGGTGCCTCCCACCTGAGAAAACCATCCCGACCCAAAGCGCCTAAGAGGTCACCTACCCGCCCAGCTGAGAACAGGACTTCCCTTCCAACTGGACACAGGGGGCGTGGCCCTCCCCGTGGACCACTTGGCATTTTATTTTGCATGCAAATGAATCCAAAGGGTGGCAGGTGGCTGCCTGAGGCCCAGGAGGGCGGTTGCTGTATGTATTTTATTTATGGAACTCAATAAGGAATTGCACAGTATATGACAGCGTGAGACCCAGGGTGCAAACTTGCAAGGAAATGCTCTTTAAGAAAACTATTTCTGGCAAGGAGAAAAAGCCAAAGGTCAGACAGGGATAAAGCCACGTTGCAGCGTCGACGGCAGCAAAGGAAACAGCAACAAGTTGACAACCGCTGATCCCAGGTCCGACTTGGCAAGCTGCCCTCGACTGTTCTGCAGGCGCGAGCCATGGCCACGCGAGTCATGGGCAGGCTCGGAGCGGAGAGGAACAAGCCAACTCACCTCAGAGACGGCGGCGACAAGTTTTGTGGAGCAGCTGCCAGCCGGGTCAAGAGAAGCGAGCATGCCAGCAGCCAGAAGTGCCCGCGGCCGCTGGGCGGACGCATGTTGAACGCTCCCTCGTGGGACACCGGACGGACAGGGACCACCCGCGGATGGCCGGGATGAGGGACCCACGGACGCCCGGCTGGCGGGTGCGGGGCTCCACCGGGAGCTGCAAACGCGTCTAGGAGCCGCCGACTGCTAGGCTTTGGGCAGAGGCACTGCTCTGGGCGGGGTGCTGGTGCCAAACCCCTCCAGAAAAGAGGCTAGGCAGGGAAGTAATTAGAAACAGTTGTACAAGCAGATGGTTTATTTGACATTAAAAAAGAGAGAGACAGAGAAAGAAAGGGGGGAAAAAAGTCCTGTTCACAGATTTCTTCAAGCTCGGGCCTAGGACGTGCTTGACAAGAGAATATTTGGAGCTGGCTGAGGATAAAGGGACCATTAAAATAATCCCCCAAATCTGCCGCAGGGGAAGGAGGGGCCAGGTGCCCCCTCCCACCACGGGCCCAGCCAAGGAGTGGTGAGCGCTCGCGAAACTGGCGAGCACAACTTTTTCCTGCCTTTATTTATTTATCTTCTGTTTGAAACGACTCCTTGTGTTTCTTAAGTCTTTTAAAAGTGTGTCAGGCTTCCAGTTGCTCGGGCCAGTAGCTTATCGTGTCGCTTTTTTTTTTCTTGCCTTGGCCAGTGTGCACTGTAGTGTCCCAAATTCACCTCATCCTCCCCGACCGAACAAGTGCAAAGGAATGCAATGTCTACTTAGAGCATACACTGCATTAGAAAAGAAAGAGACCAGTGTCGCTAGCACCTGATAGGGACTGGTCACTGGGTGTAGTTCCTCCCTAATTGTAACTATACAGAATCCTGTGCTCATGGAGTGAATGTGGCTTCACCATCTTTCGGATACCAGGCTCTGATCCAGAGAATATTAGAGCCAACGGCAAGGTCAGGAAACATACTGCTGCCATGCAGCCGGCTGGGAAGACACTACAACCAAACCACAGCAGGCTGGAGGGCTGTGAGTGAACGCTGCTTCCAGACTCTGCCACAGCCCCCTAACCCGGAGCATGGCACTGGACCCAAGAATTGGACTGGGAGGAACTAGAGGCCTGAAGGGCACTGCTCTGTCCATCTTAAAGACAGGCAGACTAAGCACAAAGAGATCAAATACTTTGCTCATATTTATGCTGGAATTTAAACCTGAGGTCCAAGGTCTCCAGAGCACGCTGTTCCTGGTGTTGTCTGACGATCTAGACAGAGGTTTTAGAAAGTGTAGGAGGGAAGGAACCAGACTCACTCTGCCCTAAAAAGGACACATTTGCTGCAAGGGCTATTCAGGAAATACAACTGCCGGAGACCCATCTCCAGCTCTGTGACAAGATGAGGCTTCTCTTTGTCATTGAACTGAGTAGATGCAATTGCAAGTTCGCCTCAATATCTACCCCCTGGAGCAAGAATAGAAATGAAGGCCTCTGATCGCAGGTCACCCTAATCTCCTCTGCTGAGAGGGGCTTTGTCCATTCTAGTCCAACAAATAGCTGACCCTTTGCCAACTCTTAATCAGATGTGTACTCTCCAGTGGAGAAGTCTTCCACCAGGAGGCCAAAGAGGTGTCCAGCTTTGAGAGTGGAACTGGACAGTGTCTGGATGGGAAATGGTGGTGTGTGGCATCCCAAGTGCATGTGCGGTTGACAAGTCAGGGGAGCCAACATGACCTGGAGCCTGGTGAGAAATACCAGTTGTCAGATCCCAACCGCACACTGGCTGAACCACAAAACACACTTTGGAGTCCACCTGTGCATCTTGTGAAAGACCTTGGGCAGCGCAAGGCTCAGGACTGAAGCAGAAGGTGCCTACATAGAAGACGGGGACCTGTGCTCGCTCGCTCTGAGCTGCTCGAGTTGCATTCTTTCGAGTGGGTTCTCAGAGAAGAACACTAGACGGGAAGCATCGACCATGAAAACATGGGCCTTTAAAGAAAATCATCTACAGTCTCCCTCTTTGCATATTTTCCGGGTGGAAAAATAATCACTTCCAATCAGGGGCCTGAGGAGTAGAAGATTTCTTTCATGGGTTAAAATGACTTTTTAACCTACAGTATTCTCAAACATGTAATTAACAATATTTTCTTCAGCAGCGTACAGCTGTGAAATGGAGTGTGTCCCAAGTGAGAGAATCTTAATTTTCAGATGATTATAATGCGATGACTCAGAAATGATAGTTCCAGTAAGTTGAAACAGTTCTGTTGTGGCTGACTTGGTGACTCCGTCTTCAACACACAGAAATTGCCAAAATGCAAGGATAAATATAAATGTATTGCAAACTCTCATTTTCTGCCTACATCTAAAGCAGTGGCCAGAACATACTACATCTTCCACCTATATTTGGGGCAAGTATAAATTAACATAAAATGATGAAAATCATGAATAACAGACCTGTAAATCAACAGAAGATGCAGATTGATACAGTGGATTCTGCGTTCACTGCCATTGTCACTCAAGACCCTTCGTATCCTTCTGCCATTGCTGCGGATTCTATCTCCTCCCACCTGGACACCTTTATCTTGGATCTTAATATCACACGTTCTGCATTAATGGCATGATGTCCTAAGGCCTCGCTGCATTCATGCTCTACCCTTTGTCTCGACCTCTACGCTACCCCCTTGAATGTCTTTCTAATATTCAAATTTCATCACTCTCATTCGCTATGGGAATAACAATTCTCCATTGCTAGTAATGTGAACCCTCTAAACCTTATATTTCAATTCAAGGTCCCTTGAGTTAGGATGTTGACTTGATTTGTCTGGTAGCTTAGTACTTCATCCAGAGCCTCTACCCCAACCTACATGCACCTAACCCCAGTTGATGGCAAGTATATCCAGTCCTGATGATTCCCCTCCATGGAAACCTCTCTATGCAAATAGAACCTCTCCTTGGGTACTCTCTCAGTCTCAAGGCAGCCCTTCATCCCCAGCCTGAGAGTATTGACATCCCTGAGTCCTTTGTGTGGACTCTGCAGAGCTGGACAGATCCTCCATGGTGATTCATTTAAGAGAAGGCAGCAAGATAATGAGGCTGAATAAGAAGGTTGAATAAAAATCCCTATAGAAGCATTTGACACCTCATCTGTGGCTATCCTCCACTCACATAGGCAGTCACCTCCTCCCCAACCCCACTGTCACTCCAGACTGACGGACACTGGACTCAAACAGCAGTGCTCAAGGATGGAGTGAGATTGGACCTTCATGACAGAGACAATGCAGCCCCTTTCCCTCAACCACTTAATTCAACTATTAATTTTTACAAAACTGAACCCTTACAGCAAAACAACCAACAAAGATGGGCATTTAGTGCAGTGGGAAAGACATCGCTAGATATGCCTGTATCCCATACCAAAATGCCAGGCTCTGAGTCCTAACTTCGCTCCTGACTGGTGTGCACCCTGTGTGGCAGGTGACAACTCAAGCACCTGGGTCACTTCCAATCACAGGAGGGACCTGGATGGAGTTCCCTGCTGTTGGGATCAGCCTGGCCCGGTCCCAGCTGTTGCAAAGTGGGCAAGTGATAGCTGTGTCGTGTCTGTCTCTAATAAACAAGTATTTCAAACATAAGCAATGGCTCTGAATGCAGTTATTTCCAGTTCCTAGGAAGAAGAGTCCAGCAGTGCTGAAGTTGTAAGGACTCAGTGCTGGTCTGGATCGATCAGCTCGGCATTTGATTGATCTGGTCTGGATCGATTGATCAGCTCGGCATGCTATATGTGGGTGCAAATTTCTAGCCCTAACTATTGATGCAAGGGCTGCTAAGAAGGAACAGGCACCAGACCTCCAAGGAGCCTCTGCAACAAGACAAATAAGCAACTGAAGAAACAAATGTGCAAATGAAAGAAAACCAGAGGAACCAGATGATAAAGACCAGAAAAACTTGAGTGAAAAACAAAATATAACCCAGAGTCTAAAGAATTCTGGTTTTGCAAAAACATGGTGTCATTTTAAAAAAGTATAACCAAAAATAAATAAGGTGCCAATTGGTTAAGACACCAAAAAAGGGGAACATTACCTGTAGGTTCCCGTTCAACAAGGAGCGGTCAGGGAAGGCGTAAAAGCCAGAGACCCTTCCGAAGGCCCCTTTGGTGTCTGTCTCTCCCTCTCTCCTCTCAAGAGGCACCCCTCCTCCCCGTTTCCTCCTCCCTCTTCTTTCCCCACTCACCTGCAGAAATAAACTTCCCTGCAACATGTCCCTGGCTTTTTATTTCTGTATTAAGCTGAGGAAAGAAACGCTGAGCTGTTCTGACAACACTAATGACTTACACTTGCTCTGAGGTCAAAAATGAAAAAGTGTTGGTACCATGACTCAGTGGGCAAATCCTCCCACCCTGTGGTGCCAGCATCCCATATGGGCCCTGATTTATATCCCCATGCTTTACTTCCAATCCAACTTTCTGCTTTTGACCTGGGAAAGCAATGGATGATGGCCCAACACCTTGGGACCCTGAACCCACATGGGAGACCTGAAAGAGGGTCCTGGCTTCAGATCAACTCAGCCCTGGTCATTGAAGCCTCTGAACTTGTGGTAATTTCACAAAGTATTGGAGGAATGAAATGGGAAACTCCAATTTAAATTATTGTCAAGAATGATACCCATTAAAAACATTCCAGATTAATAACATATGAACCAAGTACACAGAGTGATGAGGGAAAACCCAGTGTAGGCAGGCAAGAATCTCTCTTTCATAAATCCCACAGTATTCTCTCTACCACCACCCACTGGTCTCATCAGTGGGCCTCAGTCATGACAGCTATGAGCAAGCATCCTCATTCTCTAGGGCCTGACCTGAGGAGGTGGTAGATTTCTCCAAGGCTTGAATAGGAGTTGACTAGACAGTCCAGTTTCTAAAGTCCTTCCCTGTTTCCTCCTCATGGTACCATTGCACTTCCACTTATCCTCTGAGATCAAAGTACTTTCTGGATGAGGCCCTCTCTCTAACTGGAACTCCTGTCCATTTCATCTTCTACTTTAAAAGTATTGCCAGCACCTAGAGACCTTGTGAGATATTGTTATTA